AATCTTACGATCGACGAAGTTATGTGTGTCACCTAACTAATAACTATATTTTTTTATAAAAATAATAAAAAAGTATACATTCGAACTATTCTAATGCTGGTGACCGCAGCTGACCTTAACCAGCTTCATCAACCGATAGGGGGCGAGTGCAGATGGCACTCCAAAGTTGCGGAAGGACTTCTGGAGCGGGTCAAGGCCAACTCCTGCCCGACGGATACGATTTTAGGAGTTCTAACCTCGGCTCAAGCCGTCGTAATTTGGATCGCCGCTTCAATCGGACAGAGGATCAATCGGTGCGTGTTACTATATAGTAATATTAAGGAGTCCCATGAACTTTAAAGTAGATAGGTCACAATTATCTATTAGGTATTTATTTTAAACAAGATTTTTATTATCTCTCCCAAATAACAAGACATGACGTATACAATATACTGATGACATACATGTTATTTTTTCTACAATATATAATTGTATTAATAAGAGATATTGTAATAGTTTTGTCAATAATAATAACCTAATAAACCATGACACCAACAAAAACGAGAATAACATACCGCCGTATTTATCAACAGAACATAACAGTATCTTTAGTTTTTATTTTGCAAACAAGTACAATATTATTCTCATACTGTTTATGAAAATTGCTATTTTTAATAATATATGTTACTTAAATGTATTGTGCAGTAGCATATTAATAAGGTAATGCATTGTGCATGTATCTAGCGTATATTTATAAAGTGTCCCCGCATTATATAGTTTTGCATCATATATATGTTGCAATTAATCTCAAAATGGATTTTCATTCTGTTTTTATCCATCGACCGAGTGTTTTCTGAAGAAGATTTAGGTGTGTAAATAATTAATTGATTTCATTAGGCTTTAAAAAAAAATTCAAGGTATTACATTAATAGATATTTCGAATATCAGACATGGTTGCTTCTTTTAACAACTAATACCGTAATAATAAGAGTATATCTAACAGATCGCTATTTAATATACAATTATTGGAAAACAATATAATATTAATTAAATCACAGATTAAAGTTGTTATCATTTCGTGATGAAGTTGCTCTTAAGATTTCATCAGTGGTCAAAAGTTAATAGACAACGTTAGATACATATAGACATTCCTACATTAATTGTTGGTGTTGTCAAGTGTAATTATATATATGGTGTTGTTACAAATATTCATTATTCAAATAAACTTAATATACGCACTTTTGAATAGTTATATTTACTGTTTCTAAAATTTTTGTTTAATTAATAGTTGATATTATATATTCCTGACTTTAATTAATAGGCTGAAATGATAGATCCCTGACCATTTTGCTTGACGACTAGAAGCATATGATATTTATCTTTTAACAAAATATATTCGTTTGTGTTATACCAAGTCGACAGCCAAGGATTGTATTCTTAAATAACAGTACCCGCGACTCAGCCCGTGTGGAATTTAACTTTATTTTTCTAAAATAAAAGTAGCCTTAGTTAAATTCTTATTACATTAGTTACCTGCGTTTCGTCAAAAGTTTCGTCAAAATCGATCCAGCCATTTCAGAGATTAGCCGGAAGAAGGTAGGCAGACAGACAAAAAATGTCATTTTGGTGGATGTACCGTATTTATATTCATATGCATGTAGTAAAAAACAGTTATTTCAATATTACAAACAGACACTCCAATTTTATTTATATGTATAGATGATACTCAACCAATATTACTAAGTAGTAAAGAGGAAATGAAAATATTTTAATTACTTCCACTAGGCTTGACTTTCTTGCAGTTAAAATTGAGGATAGATTGAAAATAAATTTATTTATCTGAATACTGAACCTAAACTACAGTTTATCTATGACCCCACACTAGGCTGTGCATATATTGTGGAAGTCAATGCAAGAAAAAATATCTATGAAACTGCTTAAGCTTTTCTTGTTTGGAAACATTTCAGGCACTTACATAGATACAATTTTGTCTGAAATGTTTGAATGAACTCATTCTCCTCTCTTCTCTTCTGTTTCCTGTACCCAACAGTCTGCTGTGAATTTACTGTATAATTTTGGAATGCAATACAATAAATAAATAATAATAAATAAATTTTATTCAATTCTCATAAAGGCGTTTTCAACTCAAACGTGTTAATTGCTCTGTGCATTTATAAACCAATCTCTAATTGTATTGGCTCTCATTCTGTATCTATAAATATCATTCACAATACTTATCTACGAGGATTATTACAACAATTAATGTGTCGCATGAGTTTACACCAATAATCGTTATCACGCTTGTTTATGGACCCCTCGTGGAAATGTACTCAAAGGTCGGACGATTACTGACCCCCTGCGATGTGACGCTGGAAATGATGACACAGCCATCGTAGTTGCTTCTCACTATCAGTGGCGGGCCTGATATACAGCCATAACATTACCCAGCTGGGGGGAGATTGTAAGTAATGAAGAACTAGTGATGCCATCGCTAGCAATGTTGGCTCCTCCCTAGAAACCATAGAGGTTAATCGTAATGATGGACTAATGGAACCTTCACTGGTGCATTTCATTATGCTACATTACAAAAAATATCTGTTCACAGTTTAGGCTTTGTGCAAACTTTTTTGTCGCCAAGTGGTGTCCTCGATTACCATCAGATGGTCGTTAGATTGATTGCAAATTTAGTTACAAAAAGAATAAGGCTTTCCAGAATGTGATGATAGAATAGTGAACCCGCTTAGGCTGACTCTATGGTATAGATAGGCCTAAGGAAATACCAGTGAAACATAGATTAGGATTCAGCTGTAGGATCCAGATAATATTAGTTATTTATAAAATAAACCATAGATTTTTTAAATATTTGTGTAACTTTTTTTTTGTTATAGAAGAGAAAAAAGTATACTCTGTCTATACAGTTCATGATTTTAAAACTATTTAATTGAAAGTTCCTTTGTTTTCTTTTATATTAAAATGTATTTTTTTTATTTAATCATATTATATGTACATATAGCATATTTGTTGATGTATGAGTAATCATGCATTACGGATATAATATTGAAATTAGATCAAGTTGTGGAAGGTTAAGTTTCTCATGCTAATGTATTTGTATATTTTATCAGATTGTATTTGTACGGTTAATACATTGTATGTCTGTGTATTAGAATAAACTAATTATACTTGACCAATTCCAGTTAACTTTCCTAACATTCATATCAACAAACAAACTGACAAGTCGACAACGCGATGCTCTGTTTGTAAATACAGCAATTAATAATTCTTAGAAGCGGTATGTAAATAAATAAATTATACTCGTAAGGAAAATCCCTAAGATACCAAGGACTATTATTATACCTGTAAAAACCTATAATTACTTAGTGTTTTGATTTGTCGAAGCTGAATATCCATAACAAATTACATTAAAGTTTTTTTTATAGGATATCTACGCTTTGGTGAGTTCGCATAGGACCTGTATAACTTAATTTTGCCTTCCCTTTTTTATTACCTAACTACACGACAAACGTTGTGAAAATTCCAAATATTTTTTTTTATGGATAATAATGGAATGGTGCACCCGCCCGCACTAACGGTTTACGCTGGCGGGACACTAGTGGAAGATGATGAGCATGAGGTCAGGTCAGTTAGATCATAGTGACAAATTCACCAAGAATACATCATGATGGTTTCCAGGGGGATCCGGGTGGTCAACCTGACATGGTACATTGCTAGTAATTAGATCATCAGTCCACATTACTAACAATCGCGTTTCCCCCAAACTGCTACATACTCGCACCTTGCAGTTTATATCGTCAATTTTAAGACGCATGCCAAAGAGTGGAACACACTTCCAGCTTTCGTGGTCCCGGAGAAATATAACCCCGTTTTCTTCAAATCTATGGTGAATAGATTTCTTCTGGGTAAGCGTGCAACATTCTAAATTTTGCCATAATTTTCCATCAGATGAGGTTAAGACCAAGCGCAAATCCATAGTAATATTAAAAATAGAATATAACACGTAAAAGTTCGAAGTATGTGAATTTTAAAAATATTGTAATAATTTGAGGTGAAGTTGATTTTATAATCCAATATCATTTTATCACCAATGTCATACATGAGATAGATTTTACAAAAATTGTAACAGACGCAAATTCATAAATTGATAAATATGTATTTTGTATAGACTACTGTTAATCTGTAGAAATAAATAATATTGAAATGTCTGTGTGTAATTTCAAATTACCAGCTTTTAACTAAATGCATATGATTGGTTCATATTTGTATAAACAATTTATGAAGGGGCGGGGGGGGTAGCTTGTTTTGTTCAATTATCAGGGTGTTGTGATGTAACAAAATTTCGTTGTTTATAATATTGTTTGCGTAGGCGTTTATAATGTTAAGCCTCGGCAGGGCTTACGCAGTGGAGCTAACGTCGGCGTGTTGGCATAGTTGTCACTTGTTGCGTTCGTCCAGTGCATTCACCTTGTCAATCTTGTTTATTTCTTTATGTATGCTTTCAATATTGACATAATTAATTGTTTATTTGTTGCCATTTTATAATCAGCTGTGTATAGTTGTTGTGAAAAAAAGTGTTTTTGTTGTTAGTCTTTGTGCATTGTAATTGTTAAAGCTTATTATTTAGGTTTTGAACAATTTAAAAGTTTCCAATTTGATATTCTTTTTGTTATTTTTTTAATTGTGAACAGATTTTCGTGATTTTTTCGCTTATTTAAATTCGCCTACTCGTTCTGGTAAGGTTAATTCTGTTTAAGGTTAATTTTGTTATAAAATTATTGATTAATTTTATGTTTTAACTATACTAACTAACAACTATTGCTCTATACATGTCTACATAATTAGATGTATTTGAACATAAAAACGTTATTAAATTACGAACTTTTATAAAAATCGTTAAGTCCCTAACACTTCCGAGAGATCGCTTATTTTTCATATGTATATAACCACATATAAAGAACACGGTACTTATGTTTTTTTTTTATAATTAATTTCCATATTTTTTACAGAATTCAACTATGGACGGTCCAACTCGACCACCTCCATGTCAACTCCAAACTGCTGATAATCTTAACGACGAATTGAAAGAAAGACTGACAGTAAGCGACACAGAGAATGACAGCTGTCGATGTGATAAGACGCAGGGTGAGGTGAAAGTCAGAAGCAAGAGGTACGGCAGAGGAGCAGTCGAATCAGGTACCTACTTACTTACATACTACTTCAAAACAACCATACACCGACTCACTCAGAGCAGGATCTAGTTTGGTTTACAATAATTAAGTTTACAAGATAGAAGATGTAGGATGTGGAATATGCGATGTAAAACCCAAAATTTGCAACTATATAGGATTAGGAAAATACGCCTCAATCTTTCAGGCAGAAACTTACGCCTTAATTACATGTCTGGAAGTAATCCTAAGCCTTAACTACATCAATCAGAACATATACATTTATTCGGACATTCAAGCTGCTCTACTAGCACTTCACTCGTACGAAATCCGATCTTAACTTATTAGAAACTATATCTTGCTACTAAATGAAGTAGGAAGCAGAAATAATATTATACTAAGATGGGTCCCCGGGCACTCAAACATCGAAGGCAATAAAAATACCGACCATCTGGCAAAAAAAAAATACATACCCGTTCACGAATATACATAGTTATATTCGTGAACAGGTGTTGCTTGTAGAGTCTGGTCTGCTCTGATAACTGTAGCTGATTTATTTTATTAATCAAGTAGTAAATTTAATTATTTTTGCAAATTTCTATTTCATACAAAATCCTAAATATGTGATGTTGGACAAAATTTGTAACTTTGACAATCTTGCTATTTGGCAATTTGTAATAAAAGAAAATCCTAAATATGTAATGTTGAACGAGTCTGCGTTCCGAATGAGCGGTAGAATCGGAAAAATATTATATGACTATTCCAAAGTGAATGTTAGGTTAATTTAGATAAAGAAATAATCTTTATCTATTTCTATTACGTACATAATTATATACCAGGCAAAAGTCGTCCTACCCGCAAAAACAGCGCCATCTATGGAGCCGCCAGTTATATTTTTAAACCATCCTTTGAAATTGCGGTTATATAATTCAAAAGTCTCTTACCGTTTGAACGGTACATTATTTCAGACATAGAATATTATTATTTTAATGTATACAAAACTTATACCCTTAGGAGCGCCCTAGAGAAGCCGGGGCGGGACTCTAGTCATACATATAAAAAATAAAAATATAAGTATACATAATATAAAAAATAATACATACTTTATATTTATATTGTGAGGTAGAAAATATATATATTTTTGCGTTTATGTACGCTAATTTAAAAAATCACTATATCAATTATTATAGATTCTAGTTGTCACTCATATACTCTAGCAAGTTTCTTGTAATATTTAGTGTTCATTACAATCCATTCAATAAAAGAGCTATAATAAATATACAAATGTTAAAACAAAAAATAGACAGAGTAATAGAAAATCAATTCAATCAAACACTTGTGTTCAGAACTGATTCACGAATGAGATGGATCCGTCCTACTTACATGTGCATGGGTCTCATATTTTAGAGAGTATGACTGATTCTAGACTAACTCATTAATTCTAGACAACATTGTTATGACAAAAACATTGGTAATGCATAGTGTCAACAAAAAATAGAAGTGACTAATATAAATATTATAAAAACATAAGTAGGTGTGCTTGTTTACTAACTCACCAAAACTACAAATTTATACTTATAATTGTGTATATGTGTACGTTATAATTAAGATTTTATAATAAGATTATTACATCATACCTCGTATTATGTGTTACGCCAATCGATATACTAAATTACGATAACCTAAAGGGGTCAGTATCGGCTGACACTATCCTGCTCGAAGGACCAAATAATTATTTATAGTATACAAGGCGATTTACAAGGTATTTGCACTTTTTAACTTGATTATAGGGAGGAGTGTACCACATATCTAATATCAGGACAGTATATACCATATATTGAATATCGGTAAGGGAACGAATGGTTAAGTTGGTCAAGGGTGCCTAGACGGTCGTGGATATTATATCAACTTACAATTGATTATAGTCTATTATAGCCTTATTGTAATTATACATGTGTTCTTTAATATATTGTTTACTAGCTGACTCAGCGAACTCCGTTGCTTCTCAAAATTAAATATGTCTACAGATTTTTTGAAGCTTAGTTACGCAATAAATTTCTGAACGCACCCTGTTTGACAAGCGTCAGCAGTTTGTAAGGGAAAATAAAATTGTTGTTTTTATTATTTTACATGCAATATCTTCATATTTTATTACCGTTTATACCTTCCCTGGACTTCTATGAATATTTCAAGACTAAAATTAGCCAAATCGGTTCAACCGTTCTCGGGTTTTAGCGAGACTTACGAACAGCAATTAATTTTTATATATATAGATGTGTTTTATTTACTGTATGTTACAAATAAGGTATAGTCTACCTATCTAATTCCCTATAGTCTACCTACTTAGTATTATAATGTGAATGAAGATGTCAATATATTAGATAGCAACCACTAGTTGCTTGTTCAATAGAACGTATGTTGATGTATTGATTGTGTGACATATACTGGACATATTAGGTACTCTATTCCTGGTACCGCTAATAAATACATTTTAGAGGTATATGACAAGTATATGTGAGAATGAAGTATTGAATTAAAGAAGTTTTTAGGCTATTTGAAATAGAATAAGGTAAGCCTAGAAAGTTCGTAAATAAAACAAACAAGATAAGGGATCAACGGTTGACAAGAAAGTCACAGAAACACAACGGACAGGAGACAATGCGTGACCATAAAACAAATCAGAAATATAAAAAGAGTAGACCAAGATATCACCCATCATAGATGATATATCCCATTATTGCCATTGAGTAAACACAACTTATCTATGCATCATGATTAGTGCTCTCACAGGACACAAATTAAGCAAACATATGGCAAACCTAGGCCTGTGCACAACAAAAATCTGCATATTTTGCCAAACTGAAGAGGTAACGCCAGTACACATCCTATGTGGTTGTAGTCCACACATGCGTAAACTAAATATCTCCTTTGGAAAGTTTACACTCTATCCTGAGGAGATAAAAACCATCGCTCCTAAGAATATCTTTCAATTCTTGTTTCTGATGGAACTAGCTAGCGAACTTTGAAATAGGACGATATAGGTCGCAGTGCTACAGGTCTAAGCACCTGACAATAGCCAATTTTTGAAATATGCTGTAGTATGTTGAAATCGATGTCCTATGCGTTCTGTAAGTCTGAACCCATGCTTTATCGCATGATGAAAGACCCTCGAGAGGTCACTCGAGTACATATTAGTTCGTCACGAGACTTGACTGATAACGTTGTATTTATACTTTGATTTTACTTATTTATGTTGAGGTCAAATAATGTATTTCAGAAACTAATATACCTTACTACCTTATCGTCTGGGTTCTACCTTGTCATTTTTCACCTTACTACTCTTATTGGTTCGTTGGTTCGACTCTAATCGGCTGCAATTTCATTTCTATCAGTCGTACTGTATCGTCTATAACATATCAACCGTGAATATTCGTAACAAAACCAAAAGGATGATGATATAGCGTTTTAGCATACCGCTTTACTTTCGATGGAATTGGGTATATTCCTTGCACAGTGCAAACATCTGTATTCATGAGTATCATAGTTTGGATTGGTCTGGGCGTTTTCCACGTATATTTCAGGACAACAGGACAATTCATTCATTCACACAGCGCCATCTAGTCCCAAGCTAAGCAGAGCTTGTGTTATGAGTACTAGACAACTGATATAAATACATAGATATAATGTTTTTTTGTAAATAAATACATATTATACATAGAAAACACCCAGACCGATACAAACAATCATACTCATGAATACAAATGTTTGTACCGTGCGAGGAATCGAACCCACGACCATCGGATAGTAAAGCGGTGTGCTAAACCACTAGAACACCGAGGCTGTCAATATTGTTTATGTACTTACAAATAATATAGACATTTATATCAGTTGTCTGTTACTGAAATTGTCGTGGGTTATTATTATTATTAAAATGTGGACTAAACTAAATACAATTGTGAGTAGCTATGACGTGGTCTGGTGTTTTGATAGTCATGCTCACTAAAATGTCCATTACTTGTGGCGGCGTGGTGGGCCGAGATCATTGGGCTCCCTAAAATATGGTCGAGCGCAGTGATAATGGCTCACCCGTCATACTCGTGAACGGGTGCTGCTTATAGCTCTGGTCTGCTCTAATCACTATGACTGATTTCATCTTATTAATTGTTGTTGTGTGTTCAATATTTTTTCTATTTGAGTATTTAATTGAATTAGTGCTAATCGGTGGTTTGTATTCACACACTTAAACTTAAATTGTAAGTAAGAATAAATTATTTAAAAGAGCAACACACAAGTTTCTTGCTTGTTCTTCTTGTGATGAGACAGCATTCCGAATGAGCGGTAGATTAAAAAAAAAAACGTTATGACTATTCAAAAGTGCTTCAATGTAAGTTTATTTGAATAAATTATTTTCTATTTTCTATTCTTTCCACAACGACTTTACCGCGGTACGTACTCTAAAGAAAATAATCAAAACAAAAAAATAAATTACTTTATAGACTGACGCAGAGATCTTTTGTGTAGACACGAATCTACTAATGATAATTAATTTTTCAATGGTCGTTCTGTGTACAAACTCCTCGTTAAAAATCTGTTAATAATAGCCACAACTTCATCAGTCTATTTTTTACGACTATAATGGTGTATGAAGTCATAACTGTGGTATAAATTGATATGCTATAGATCTAGGTAGTGCCTACTTGCAACTTTGGCATGATATTTACGAACCGATACAATAGCACGGGATTTTCATTTAATGTTAGACATAGACACACCTACATAAATGTACATTCTAAATAAACTGTTATTTAAAAAAAAAGTAATTCAAATTAATTTCTTGCCAGGAAAACTGGACGATAGGTAAAAATTAATGAGACCCGATGGTCGTGGGTTCGATTCCTTGCATGGTACAAACATTTGTATTTATGAGTATTATTAGGTAGGAGTATCGGTCTGGGTGTTTTCTATGTATATGTATTTATTTTCACAAAAATTGCATCTAGTACATATAATACAAGTTCTGCTTAGATTGCGACTAGATGGCGTTGTGTGAATTGTCTTGAGATATAAAAAAAACTAGATTGTATTATTATTTCACATGTATGATAGTTTATAATGTATTTAGAATATGGGTCATTAGTAGCCTAAAATAAATAAATATTGATGATATATTTAGGTCTAAACTTTGATCACAGGACTGACACATGAGTGCGGAGTATTCGGCGCCATTGGCACCGGGGATTGGCCGACACAAGTCGATGTCGCACAAGTAATATGTTTGGGGCTCGTCGCTCTGCAACACAGGTGAAATTTTACAGCTAAATCTTACTAATATTATAAACGCGAAAGTTTGTAAGCATAAATGGATATTTGTTACTCTTTCACGTCAAAACTACTGAACAGATTTTGATGAAACTTTCCAGTATAGCTTATATATCAGAATAACACATAGGCTATAATTTATATATATTATGTAAATTGGACGAAATATAAAGATAAATGTCAAGTAAGTGTGACGTAGACAAAATTGCGTCGGTCAGCTAGTTTTTTTTAATTTTTTTTTTTACTTTTATTTTTTTCGGACTACTCTAATGCTGTTGGCCGCAGCTGGCCTTTACAGCTTCACCGGACGTTAGGGGGCGAGTGCAGATGGCACTCTAAACCCGCGGAAGGACTTATAGAGTTGCGGAAGGCCACCTCCCGCCTGAGGGATACGACTTTAGTCAGATGGCACTACTAGGGGTTTGAACCTCGGCTTAGGCCGTCGTAATTTCGATCCCCGTTTGAATTGGACGGAGGATCGATCGGAGGGGTGTCAGCTAGTGTATACGTATAAGTATTTGCATCTTGGTGCTCAGTCTTTTACCCCCGGATAAACCAAAACTTATTTTATTAAATGAATAAAAGAATCTACCACGTATCTATCTATATGATTATTTACACATTTTACTAACTTAGTTAAACAGTTTTTGTATCATACACTGTCCATCAAAGTATTTCTTATCGTATTTGTCCTCTGTGAGCAATAATTGCTAGTAACACCTTGTTATTTACCTACAATAACCCTAAAATAATAAATGTATGTATTTTTAAATCATACCTCTTACAGAGGACAAGAGTCAGCTGGTATAGTGACATCGGAAGGCAAAAGTGCGCGCACATTCAATTCTCACAAAGGGATGGGTCTTATCAATAACATATTCAACGACGAAGCTATGAAGAAACTAAAAGGCAATTTGGGCATCGGTCACACACGGTAAATAAATTTTTGATATATAATAGTAATCGATAATATGATATATTGATTTACGAAATCGATATTACAATGTCTGTTATAAAGGTAGATTGGTTATTATGAATAAATGTCTGGGTCACGACGTATCATTATTATTATTATTACATAGTATAAAACAATATAAATTACATGGATGTATATCTTATCAAAACCGGGATTAATAATATTATAAACGCGAAATTTTGTAAGTATGGGTGGATGTTTGTTGCTACTTCACGCAAAAATTAATTAACGGACTTTGATGAAATTTTACAGTAATATAACTTATACATTAGAATAACATATAGGCTATGATTTAAAAGGATTTTATGCAAATGGGCGATATAATGATAAATGTTGCAGTCGAGGTTGCGCGGGTCAGCTAGTCAAAAATAAATTTAGTTGTGATTCTTGTCAATTCTTCTCAATTGAATCTATAGGCTGAACTGGATGATATGGAAAAAATATAGGAATATCCTTGCTACAAACATGATTGGATGAATAAACCTGTAATCATATCATGATATTGTGAATAGGTATTCAACGTCAGCTGCATCAGAAGAGGTGAATTGTCAACCATTCGTGGTGCATACCGCACACGGCGCGCTGGCCGTGGCTCACAATGGAGAGCTGGTGAACTGCAGCAGCCTCAGGAAAATGGTAAGTGCAATGTTTCTAGCTGATAGGCCTCATGCATAAATGATGTAATATGAATGTCATGAATTTTTGAACCGTCCTGGTCACATTTGTGAGATCCACTAGTGTGACGTCCATATTTTGTAATTTTACGCTAATAGGTACCTCGAGTTTAAACTTGTCAATAAACAATAGAAAAATTATATAAAGGAATAAGAAGTTGGAAATATCTTTAAGTGTTTTGTTAATTGTTAAAATTTTGTGTTAATGATATATTTTTCGCTGTTAGAACTTGTTTTACTTTATTATGTTATATATATGTTATGTACAGATTGTCCTCCTATAGAATAGAAAATAATTTATTCAAATAAACTTAATTTAAGCACTTTTGAATAGTCAAAATTTTTTTCAAATCTACCGCTTATTCGGAAAGCTGTCTCATCACAAGAAGAATAAGCAAGAAACTTGTGTGTTGCTCTTTTAAACAATCCTTGTAAGTTCACATTTTACAAGTCGAAACGTGTGAATACAAACTACCTACCAGCACTAATTTATTTAGGCTCAAATATAAAAACACAATAAGATTAAATCAGTCGTAGTGATAAGAGCAGACCAGTCCCTACAAGCAGCACTCGTTCACGAGTATGACGGATGAGCCAGCCATCACTGCGCTCGACCATATTTTAGGTTTATATTTCTATATAGCGTGTTCGGGTGTGGTGTCTGGGAGTTCACGAAATTAAAAAGGCAGGAGACTTAATCACTGATATAATACGCTATTCCTGTGCTACATGATATATAAGACTGGGGATGGACGTGCAGTAGATCCGCTATGCAACGCGATGTAATCTGATCGTATTTGTATTCATACTGTATATGTGTGTGCATGGCACACCTACATATTAGATTTTGAATTGTAAAACGTTACAATATCAAGGACGCTCCCACGCCTTGTCACACAATGTCACACTGACTACCCCTCCCTTAATTTGTGACATTATTTATGGACAAGCAGCCTACTGTCGAATCGTCTTCCGATCCAATGTTGTCGGATTGCGTCACTTCGCACCTTGTTGTAAATTACACAAGCAATGTATTTATGATTTAGTTGTCAATGAATCTTTTATCTGTTATTGTTATAGATTTATTCAGTTTAGTCCTGATTATGTTTTAAAAGATTGGTACAAAAATTGATTGTACTGAAATCTGTATATTTTTTTATGTTTGATAATGGAATGGTGCTCCCACCTGCACTAACGGTTTACGCTGGCGGGGCAACAGTGGAGGATGATAAGATGAAAATGAGGTCAGGTCAGTTAGCCCATCGTGACAAATTCACCAGGAATTTATCACAAAGGGGAACCGCGTGGAGGTCAACCTGACATGGTACATTGCTAGTAATGGATTTATGAGTCCACATTACTACAGATTTCTGTTCCAATTATGGCAAACATCATCTTTGGAGAGATCACCTGACCTTTTTAACAACAAGTTTTATTATGATTGATGAGTTTATTTATTGTTATGATTTATATTTTTATTTATAAAATGAAGTATGTTTGATATACAGGTACTTGGACGAGGAGTAGGGTTATCCACACATTCAGATTCAGAGCTGATCACGCAGGCGTTATGCCTGAATCCGCCGGAAGGGGAGACCAATGGACCCGACTGGCCTGCGAGGATTAATAATCTCATGAGGTATGTACACTATCAGATTAAGTGATAAAATCTCAAACTGGGAAATAAAAATAAGAACTAAAGTAATAGATATACTATCGCGAATAGATCACTTAAAATTAAGCTGGATAGGGCATATATTATAATGCAAAGTGAACAACTGGAGCAAAGAAGTGACTCTTTGGTATCATAGAAAGGGACTAGAATGGTCGAAATGGCCAAAGAACTCTATGGAAGGACGGCTTCAACCTGGCTCTGGGACTGCTCTGGAATAGTATTGCGGAAGACAGAGGTCAATGGAGTGAGCTAGAGCAGGCCTGTGCCAAAAGCACACCGAGTTGCGGGATATTCTGTAAACTACGGAATGTACCCTAATCTTGGAAAAAAGGCTTATTATGTATACTATAATCACGAATACTATATAATCTTAAATACGAAATACTCATCTGCGTTATATAATCGTCAAGCAACTTGGTTTATAAGTTTTCGATTGAAGAGTAAAAAAGATAAGGCAGTGAAATTACAGAATAAGGACATAAAATCTTAGTCCTTAAGAATGGCTACTCATGAGTCTTATCACGATCTTCATATGTTAACGTGATCTTCGTAATACTGTTTACTTTTGTTGCTTGTACCCATAAAAAGTAAGTTTGTAGGACATTGTGTTTCTGTAAAAGGGTGTTAATGTTCTATTTTCTTTGTGGCTTCTCTGGATATTCAAGATTGCAAAAATTTATATTTTTGGGTGAGTGATTAAGTATTTTAATCGCTTAGTTGTATATAATTATGATTAAATTAAAGTTTTAGATTTATACATGACAGTTTCACAACTTCATATGGTTCACGGAGTATAAAATGTTATTGTACCTATGTGAAACAAGGCAATGAACTTGTTACGATAATGACCGTACAAATTACAATATCACTAATTAAAAATTTTGAACAACATTATGTTTGACTAATCTATAATTTTGTTATCATTTTAATATTATTATAATTAGTTTCCTCAATAATTTGTTATATACAATATACAAATTCCTTGCCAATTAATTTAAGTTTTCTTTGACTCCATTAGTTTTCTTTGAGCCCTTCACAATTATATATGTATTACTGAAATGGACAAAAATTATTCATACAAAAAACTTCACGTTCATAAGCGGCTAAAATTTCCTACATGAATGAATGATTTTTGATTTGATTTAGTACAACATCTTAGATTTAATATTCGATGAAATTTCTTTTATAGATACTAAAGAACATTTTTGTGTTTTTATACATAACATATCGTATTGGGGCCATTCGGATAGTGCGAAGATATACTTAGTGTCTTTAAAAAAATGTATTCTCATGTTTTATAGAATGTTTGAATGAATGAATCTGGCACGAAAGGACCAAAAATGAATACTCGTATATTCGGTTTACAGTTCGACATTTTATTAAGATATTTTGATTATAAACTTTTTCTTTCACTAGGCTGGCTCCGCTGAGTTACTCGCTGGTTATTATGCTCAAAGACAAGATATATGCTGTCCGAGATCCATACGGGAACAGGCCGCTGTGTCTTGGCAAGATTCTGCCCCTTGGATCTTCGTGTGAGTATTACTGAATAACAATATTTACGATTTCATTTCCGTTAGGACGAACAGAAAGAGAGCGAGAGAGAGAGATAGAGATAACCGAGTGTTAACATCTATTTTTAGTCCTAATACTTCATTTATTATCATAACTATCATACTATCATGACAGAGACCTGAATGCTAACATCTCTTTTTACTTTTAATACTACATTTGTATTCATAAATTGTCTCAAAAATAGAGAGAGAGAGAGAGAGAGAGAGAGTTAGGGAGAACCGAGTACTATAGACTTGTATGTTTGATACAAATCCTTCTTAGTATATATTCCTAACCTGACTCGTGCAAAGAGAAAGGGAGAGAGAACTGAATCCTATTTATTTATATTTTTAGCTACAACTCTTGAAAATTCTCTTAAAAAGTTTTCAAAAGTTATGTCTCATCATGTTGGTTGCTACATGCATCGTCCGTTTTCATAGGTTCTCATTTTCATCTAAATGTGCAGCTGCCTGATATTTAATCAATCTTCATCAGACGGCAAATAATGTTAATATTAATACTAAAGATGAAATAAATATTAACCTACATGATACTCTCATATATATAGACGTATATCAGTCTTCATTAAACATGTGGAAATCATTACTAATATGTAAAACTAACAGTGCCCGCGGTTTTACCCGCATGAAATTTGTAGCTTATGCATTATTGCGATGTATAAGCTATATTACTGTAAAGTTTCATCAAAATCCGTTAAATAGTTTTTGCGTGAAAGAGTTACAAACATCCATCCATACTCACAAACTTTTGTTTATAATATCAGTAAGATAGTGCAATTATATTATTGACAGCCTCGACCGCTTTACTTCCCATGATAGCAGGTTCGATTCCTCACGGTGCAACCATTTGTATTTATGAGTATGAGTCTGTCGGTCGATTGATCGGTCTGGGTTTTTTTCATGTATATTATACGTGTACAATGTACAAGAAATAATATTAGTTGTCTAATATCCATAACACAAGCTCTGCGTTATCCAGGGTGAAAAAAATGACAGAGACAGATGTTCAATTCCACACCGTATCTGTTATACATTCTGTCTAGTCCATATGTCCAAACATTCATGTCATAGGTGGTAGCTATCACTTAAAATCAGATAGATTCATATCAGAAAACAAGTGTAATTACTATATACATTTGAGAATATTGTATCAAACTTAAAATTTGCTACTTAACACTTACTTGATCTACAAATTAGACAATTTAAATAAAAATAATAGTACTACTTGTTAATACAAATTCTTTCAAATGCCACTATTTAGTGTAACCCTAACCTGAGGTGATACGGCACGATGGATTTATGAAAAATATTATTGAGGCAAAAATACATGGAAACAGGGGGAGGGGAAGACCAAGGCAAGACATCAAGCAAAATAAACACAAAATGGGAGTCGTGTCGTAACAACAGTTAAAGAGCATGATGGAAGATCGTGAAAAGTGGCAAGAGCTCCACCGACAAGACGAGAAGACGACGCTCTTGTCGGTGAATCTCTTGCTTCTTAATTCTTAAATTATGAATAATTAAACCTAAGGTTAAATTTTCATCGGGTTTTACTTCCAATATCTGCGTGTGTTTAAAAGAAAATACTTTTTTCAGATGCGTACAAACAGTCATCAGCTCAGCATGCTGCGGGTAACGCATGAATTATATCATTATAAAGTTCAGTTCACACTTGGTACATTTTTATAATAGAATAGAATAGAAAATAATTTATTCAAGTAAAGTTAATTTAAGCATTTTTGAATAGAAATCACATATTTTTTAATCTACCGCTCATTCGGAAAGCTGTCTCATCACAAGAAGAATGAGCAAGAAACTTGTGTGTTGCTCTTTTAAATAATCGTTTACAGTTTTAAGTCGAAACGTGTGACTATAGACAACTAATAGTAATCTAATAATATTTATTCGTTATCTTTTTGTTTCTTACTTCCTAGTAACAAGAGATAACATTGTACCCAGTGTGAACCGTATATCATTAATATTAATTAATAATTTGGTATTTCATAAGGGGCTATCCATAAACGTCACGACATTTTCAGATATTTTTAGCCACTGTTACAACTGGTTACAAGTTAATAGTTAAAATTTGAGCTTTTATACAAAAATAGAAATACGGTCTCGCAAAATCTAAGAACTCCTGGATTTCAAGATTATTTACAACTAGCTGCAACCGCGACTTCGTCCACGTGGAATTTAACATTATTTTTCTAAAATAAAAGTAGCTTAAGTTACTCCTTATTACATCAGCTACCTGCCAGTAAAAGTCGCGTTAAATCGGTCCAGCCATTTCAGAGATTAGCCGGAACAAACAGACAGACAGACAAAAATTGTAAAAAATGTTGTTTTGGTGTATGTACCGTATTTATATTTATTTATATGCATGTAGTAAAAGACGGTTATTTCAATATTACAAACAGACACTCCAATTTTATTTATATGTATAGATACTTTTTTGTGACTTTCAAACCTGTGCTTTACAATATCACGCTTTGTCGTCTCCACTTTGACGTGTGATTTATGGATGACCCCTAATATAATATAAAACTTATCCATCTTGTAACTTTATAATTGTACTGATTACTTGGTTAACTGAACTGGTTTATTGACCAATAAAATGATTGCTAAGTTATATATTATTGCATGTTATGCGCACGCAAACGAGGTGTGTATCCGCTTAATTATAAGTTTAATTTTAATGAACAAAAGATCATTTCATATTGATTAATAAAAAGAGACTTCTTACATAGTCGTGATTTTAACTTTTTAAGACCTAATTCTATTCTTCGCAGCTTGATTTCTAAGCTATGCACTAGTTAAAAAATGAGACATAATAAATTATTATAATAATAATAACTTGTATCAAAAATGGCAAAGCATGAAACATATCAAGGGCGTCACAATGTTATTTATGACGTCAGTGATTCTGTCAATGTAATATATCGTTTTCCATCAGATGGGCCGGCATCTTTGAATCCTATCACCTATTTTATTAGCGTTAGATTTATTTACCAGGTTTATTGACTTTTATCCACTAGTCCAATTCAATCGGATCATATGGAAGCGTAATCACCATTTTCATTCTTAAACTGATGTTGATAAACTGCTTCTTAAATGACTTGTTCTGAAAGGAAATTAACAATTAACATTTATCAATGATCGTAGTGTAAGTATTTCATCGAATTCAGGACCTTATAGGCATATAAATAAGTTCTAAAATATACCTAAGTCATAATTCAATTTAATACATACAACTATGTGATAAGCAACAATAAAATTGAATACTAGTTCGAACTGGACACTTCTAAAAATTGTCTTGAGGTCAATTTATTTACGAGCCGAGTTTGAATTAATTATGAACTGGTCTAGTCCGGTAGTATTGCATTTCGTTGCTATAGGAATATGTGTTAAAATTATAAAACTGTAAGGTTCAAATTCCAAAGGTAACAGATAATAAAATGTCATTCATTAAATACTTATTCTGTATTGTACGTCAGTTTGACGCACAGATACGCTATTATACGGAAATATCGATAACCCGCAAGTATTATAGTTAAGTTTGCGAAGTCACATTTATGAGTATCAGATAAAGGGATATCGTCTATTCGCGGAAACTTAATTTATTACATTGCGAACTAATTTATATTCCCATGGTAACACGAATTTTTATTCTTGTATAAATCTCGGGATATACATTCCTAAATGTTTTTATTAAATTATAATCCAAGTCTGAATTTATCTTAATTATAATCTGGGCAGTTTTATCCGCTTCTAGATGTACGTGACCACAGGACCTAGTGTCAACATGTGTTGACAATGTTTTGATAAGTCGTCCCCCAGAATATTTAATTTCCGTCTTTGGATTGTATCCCAGATATTTAGGTTTATAGATTTAATTAAAATAGGAAAGCTTTTCCAGTTAACCAGATAATAGATATAGTTCTACTACTGGTAGTATCTTCTTATTACACTGTGGTTTAACCAAAACTACTTTGTATAAGTAATGAACCTTAGAACATTAGTTTTAGGGTTTAGGGTTCTAGAATAATCTCTCTAAAGTGTATAGAACGTAGGTAAAGCAATTATAAAACACATAATAAATTAAAAATGGATATTTGTTATAAACAGGCAGTAATTGCAATGCTGCGTTTAGGAATTAATTAGTAGTAGTAGAATGAATTAGAAATTTATAAAAAGCTTTTTCTTACGTATGTTATGTTGATTATTGATCCGTCTCGAAGGACCAAAGTTTAAATTTACCTTATTGAAGCAGATCAAATAAAATACAGCAAACAATCGAAGGTATATATTATTAAGGACGACGTTAAAAAAAAGTAACATTACGAAGAAGGTAATAGAATGTTCTTCTATTACCTTCTTCGTAATGTTACTTTCACGGTGCGGCTTCCTTTCTCTTCAAATATCTTACTTTCATTGTGTGCGTATTAATGCAGCTACATACACGAGCAAGAAATACTTTTATTTATCCAAAATATACTTAATAGAAGCACTTTTCAAGTCTTATTTTTTTAGTCTACTACTCATTCGGAACGTAGACTCACACTAACTAATACTAAAGTGGAATCATAAGAAGAACGATGTTGATAAATATAAGATTTTGTGTACAATCAGTAAAATGGAAAATTAACGTCTACATTGTATGTTCCAGTTTTAATGAACGGAAACGCAAAGAACGGAGTGGACGACAGGGCTGAAGGGTGGGTCGTGTCGTCAGAGTCTTGCGGATTTCTTTCCATAGGTAAGTCCATAAAACAAAGTTGTTCGTACAGTCAGACGGCCTCAGCAGTTAGCGGTGTAACACGGCTCTTTACTTCCGATGGCCGCGGTGTCAATTCCTCGCACGGTATAAACATTTGTATTCATAATAATAATAATAATAAAAGTTTATATAATACCCATAGTCCTCTCATCTACAGGTATCATACCCAAACACCTACATCATAGCCTGAAACAATTAGATATACAAAAAACACTTTACATCACCCTTCAAAAAGCTGCCATCTTAAATACTTGTCGTACAGTCCGAAAATTTCTCGAAATCGATGAAAGTGATATAACACCAGTCACACCAGGCACACAATAAGTACACACACACTCACACATACATACACGCGCACACACACATACACACACTCTGCACTTACTTGGTTTCGGCCCGTAAGTGTGGAGAAAAGCAATAGCTGAGAAAAAATAAAGAATAACAATAATAATAATCTCAGGACAATTCACACAACGCCATCTAGTCCCAAGTTAAGCTAGCTAAAGCTTGTGTTATGGGTACTAGATAACTGATACAAATACATAGATTTTTTTTTGTAAATACATACATATTATACATAGAAAACACCCAGACCGATACAAACAATCATACTCATGAATACAAATGTTTGTGCCGTGCGAGGAATCGAACCCGCGACCATCGGTCGTAAAGCGGTGTGCCAGACCGCTAGACCACCGAGGTCGTCTTTTTGTATTTATTAGTATGATTGTTTATATCTGTCTGGATGTTTTCTATGTATATTATATATTTATTTGCAATTAATTATCTAAGTACATGTATTTATCAATTGTCTAGTACCACACACACACACAAGCTCAGCTTGGGACTAGATGTCGCTGTGTGAATTCTCGAAGGATATTATTATTATTATTTTGATCCGTGAAACTGTAAAGGCCAGCTATATGATATGATTGATAGCACAATCTTTTTTTGAACAGCATTAAAGTAGTTTGAAAATAAATTGTCGCAATTTTAAGGTATCTTAACCTTACATTAGAAGATAAATTGTCACACAAAGTAAATATATATGAATATATAATATATATAACTTTTATATTTAGACAACATTCTTTGTGATTAAAGATAGCAAAATTTATTTGGTTTTTTATCAATATATAATTAAATAAATAACCCTAGACAATCAATACCGTCTGTGCCGAGGTACGAGGAATCGAACCCGGGACCATCGCGGGAAGTAAAGCGATGTGCTAAACCGCTAGATTAATGAGGCCGTCATATATGCGAGTATATATTTTTATCTGTTTGTGTATATAATAATTAATTTTATGTTCAGGTGCCCGATATGTCCGTGAAGTATTACCAGGCGAAATTGTAGAAATGTCACGGCACGGGATTCGAACAGTTGACGTCGTGGAGCGGCCAGTGGATAAGCAGCAAGCGTTCTGTATCTTTGAATATGTTTACTTCGCTAGAGCGGACAGTATATTTGAGGGTAAGTTGAGGAATGTTGTGAGATTATTATTTAAGTGAATCTAAAACTGAGAATTCGCTAATGTTTTTATTATAATTACAGAACTTTTTATTACCTAATTGGAATTTCTCTCAAACTGAAGCACAGCTAGCAAGCTGCTCGCGGCAGAATTAGGCCAGAGGAAAAAGTAGTAGAAAGTCGTTGTACAAAATATATCTTTGTAAGAAATCTTAGATCTTAGATGACTCGTGTTTCTTCTACAGCCAGAGATAAGGTCTTCAGGGCAGTATGTTCGATTTAAACATATATTGTCGGTTATAGGACAAGTTTACCTAGATACTCGAATGTAATACTTGCAATTAATGACGGCTAGTATGACAACCTAAATATTGTCTACTAAGCACTGCAGAAAACCCTTCTTTATTATTGTTATTTAGTAGTAGTAAAATGTAAAGATCGCTCTTTTAATGTACAATTGTCAATTCACTATCATCTGTAGTATATCATCATCACTTCTATCGTACCATTCACCATCGACAGGCTGGAACCTAAATGGTCTTGGACAGTGCCGTTTCAGAGGAGCTTCCTCCCGTGTACACTTAGATTCTGGAATTAGCTAATTAACATGTAGTTTATCAAGAAGAATATATTAAGGTTTCTTAAGGGACGGGAACGCGCACTTGACACCCATAGTGGTTCAGGGATCCATACGCTACGGTAACCATTTACCATAACATGGGCCACGTGCTTGTTTGCCATCGTCGTTCTTCTTATTTGAAACGCTCTTGACAGAATGGTCGTGGACCTACCGTCCTTACTTACTGCCTTTCTGATACACTCGTGGAGCCAGTACAGTGGACTAGACAGCAAGTAGGTAGATGGTAGGTAGACGCCATCATCGTAGTATAAAAAAAACATCGTCTCAATTGACAACATCGTTGAACAGGTCAAATGGTGTACTCCGCGCGACTTCAGTGCGGACGCATGTTGGCGCGCGAGTCGCCCGTCGACGCGGACATCGTCTCATCTGTGCCGGAGTCGGGGACTGCGGCCGCCCACGGCTACGCCAGACAGGTAACATACCATTAAAAGCTTGTATTATTGCCTTTACACGTATGCTCTTTCTCGCAGTAATCGGCTTTCATCCAATATAGAATGTGTATATAAATGTAGACAAAGAGAACAAGAACCGCGCGCGCCGCCATCTTGGGCATTTACACGGTCTTCAATCATGCGTGCTTTAGGTTTTCATGTAAGATAGAATGTGTATGTAAATGTAGACAAAAATAACGAGTAAGTACACGCGCGCCGGCAGCATGTGCGTTCTTCAATTGTCGAACGTGATTTAGCGCCATTTTGTAATAATTAATTGTCTTTACAAAATGGCGGACATCTGACTGTAGAGCAAAGATAATTATACAGTTATTGATAATTTATAAATCTTAAACGTGAAAGAACGTGTCGTGTAAAGTATTGCCTTGACTTTATCCGTTATTTGGAGATATCACACATGACATACAGTCATCTTCTTTCACTGTCATATCTGAGCTTGCTCTTCTTGTATACATATCGTCTTTCACACAATCCATCGATCTTTCTTTCGGTCGTGCTCTCACTTTATTATTTTTCTATTTACTGTTTTCCTATATTTTTTCTATATACATAATAAAAAGTTTATTATTACTCTCAGTCTGGGATTCCGTTCATGGAGGTGCTATGCAAGAACCGGTACGTTGGTCGCACGTTCATCCAGCCGTCGACACGGCTGCGGCAGCTCGGCGTCGCCAAGAAGTTTGGTGCACTCTCAGAGAATGTAAAGGGAAAGAGGATAGTGCTCATAGATGACTCCATAGTGAGGGGGAACACCATCGGGCCTATCATTAAACTGCTACGGGACGCTGGCGCCGGCGAGGTGAGCAATGTGTTTGTAGTATCGCATGTCCATGGCGCAATACAGCAGCAGTTAACTGATTTAAAAAAAGGAGGAAATTCTGAAATAGGCTGCAATTTCATTTAAAGTTCGTTACTTAATTACGTCAATTAGAAACCGATATAATTTTTTTAAAGAGTATATGTATATAAATATGTATATATAGTCTCGTATCAGTCCCATTTTTTTTTGTTGGGATGAAGAATAGCGTGGATGGAAGAATATAAATTGTAACGCAATAAGCAAACGAGTTTTCTCAACATTTCTGTATGAATTCGCTAGAAAATGTTTAATACTGAATTATCTACAATATTTTAACAGGTACATATAAGGATAGCGTCTCCGCCCCTCAAGTACCCGTGCTACATGGGCATCAATATTCCCACACGCGAGGAGCTCATTGCCAACAAGATGGAGAGCTATAAACTGGCAGAACACGTAGGTTAGTGTCCTAGTTTTTCTATATGAGTTTGTATGGTAACTTATTATGGTCATATGGGATGTACCATTGTATTTGTGAATGAGGTTGCCAGTTATGGGGTTGTACCAGGACGTCGCATTTAGTTCAGTCATTTTTAACAACAAATTATCCACTTTACGAGCAATTGTGTTGAAATATAAATTATTATGTTCCAACAGGTGCGGATAGTCTGGAGTATCTAAGTGTGGAAGGCCTCGTCAGTGCCGTACATTACAACATGAATACGACCCCCAGTGATGGAGTTGGGGGACACTGCACCGCCTGCCTCACGGGGGAGTACCCTGGTGGTCTCCCTGATAACGTTGATTGGTGATAGTGATACAGTTATTGACGGTGAACGGTGAACAGCGCACTGCTGGTGAAGTCATAACTTTGATTACAGACAGGGACGGACTAAGGCCTGCGCAATCTAGGCACTAACCTAGGGCCCGTAATTTTTAAAACTACAACAAAGTATGTATCATGACTGAAAAATAGCTGCCTAGGGCACACTTTAGCCTTAGTCCGCCACTGATTATAGACTATAGTGATGGCATTTATTTAACACCTTTTGGGTGTCTCCGTATACATCTCAAGGTCTTAATGATTAGCGAATGCGTAATATATTTGGTTGCCACAGTTCATATATTCACAATAATAAACTGCATAAAAATACAGAATTTATATTTTTTGGAAATTGGATCTTAATATAAAGACCTTAAAATAGATTTTCTAACATTTGTGATTTTTGAGTTAATGCAATTTATTATTAAGCGCGCAATATTCGCATAAGAATGAAAGACAAATTATACGTACTCATATTCAAAGATAAAAAAAAGAAATTCCATAAATTTTATAATATTACAAAGGGACACATGTCAGGGAATAATTAAGGTGAGTTCACAGCAACAAAATCTAACACTAGCCATTGTCCGCATAGTCCTCACTAGATTTTAGTAGTGGTGCTTGTAAAATAAAAAAGTAATGTGTGCTGGGACACGCTAGAAGTGAAACTTCAATGAACAACGCGATATATCGTCTACAAGTCTCAAAGCGAAGTTAACGCCTCTTTTGTGACCGAAAATCCTAATGCAGGGTGTATGGAAGTCTCACAAGTCTCAAAAAAAAAAAGGGCAAGTAATTCTGAATTGTATGGACATGGTCTTCCCCTTAATTGACGAATGTCTTATTGGAGTTGTTAGTATTAGTTGCTGTGGAATTGCCTTTGCAGTTTTCCGACACTGGCTAATCTAAACTAGCGTACGTAGATGGGTAAACGCTCGTTACATCCCAGGAATTTATGCTCAGTACAATATGATTATATATTTGCAATGTCTGAAATGTGGTTATGTTCCAATATGTGCCTTAAAAACAATTTCCAAGTTAGAAACTTTTATTATTGTAAAAAAATCGTACTATATTTGGCATATAGTTCGATTTTTTAATGTATTTGTGGTAATACAGATGAATCAAGGCAATGGAATGCTCGAATCTCTGCCATCTTGGATCCGAATCTCACCTTCATTCTCCCCATAGTGTGTTGTTGATTTTGATAACTGACTCATATTTTCTTGGAGAAGAAAAAAATTAAAAGAATAGTATATATATATATATATGTATATTAAAAAACTATGACGTCAATACTAAATTATATACTGTTCTTTCCCGAAAATTTCCCTTTAGTCTTGATTCATTTGTATGTGATGATTTTTTTTATTATATCTTATCTTATTTATAAGATTTTTTAAACGTTAATTTACATAGTACCTAATAGATCAGTAGTTTGGCTGTTGATTTTGCGATAAGAAGGGTTTTATTTTTAAAACTATTTCTTTTATTTTGGTACGTTTATGTTTATTTTCGTTATTAGTAATTTGATTAGAGCACGTGAATGATAGGATATTCGGAGGTTTTTCCAATTATAGATTGATATAACATGTTATTGTGTTCCAATTTTCAAATATAAATATTAAATTAAAAAAAAACCTCCACTCAGATTTGGAGGTATTTTTTAATTTAATACATATTTATATTTCAAAATATATATCCCATATCTCTTTTTCAATTAATAGAATGAGTTATTTACTATATAGAAATCTTCATATAGTTGGAAAATAAGGGATCAATGATCTAGTGATTAAATGAAAATATATTTTATGCTCTCTGTGCGAAGGTATGAGTTTGATGAATTATGGTATAAAATATATCTTGAATTTTTATCAGTTTTCGGATTGAAATAAATTTATAAATAATTGGATATGTATGCAGTAGGATTATTTAGAAAGTACTTGTACTACAGAATCTCTCAAACGTTCCTAAAGCAATAAAGACATTTTTTTGTTATTATAAACCCTCTTATTTAGTTTATATAGGTTATTAACGATGTTGTTAATTATGAAGCATGAAAGTTGTAATGGAAATATTTCTTGCGATATATAATATTATCATTCCCTTCTGTTTTACTCGGGGAAAATCCATTATGGAGAGTGATTCATCCCGGGGGTGACTAGACGTCACTAAAAACTCCAAGGTACTCTAATTGGGTTAATTCTATTGGAACTGAGAAAAAACATTCCTAAATTATATATGTATAGAGATTATATTACACTAATTAAATAAAAAGTAATATACAACCAAATGTGCCTTAACCTCATATTATATTTCATAAATTATGAAAATTAATGATATTATGGTGTCTGTATACTAAAGTAATATATCAATATGGAAATATTTGTAATAAAAAAATTGAATTTATTAAAATACTGTTCTAAAACACATCCTGATTGTGTAATGTAATTTTATTTCACTAATTAATAGTGGATAGAGTCGGATTAATATAATAATAATATTATTAACCCGTAGTTATTCAGTTATGGCTTCAGTCAGTGTATATCATTAACTAACTGTGGCCGCAATTTCGTTTGCGTCGTTATCAAAAACACTATCTGCGTTGCAACATTTTTCACTGATGTTTCGCTTCTATTGGTCGTAGCGTAATATTATATAGCTTAAAGCCTTTCTCGACAAATGGACTATCCAACTCAAAAAGAATTTTTCAATTCGAACCAGTAGTTCCTGAGATTAGCGCGTTCAAACAAACAAACTGTTCTCGCTTTATAATATTTGTATAGATAAGATTTATAGACAAATTGTTCACATTTTCAGTTAAATAAATGTTTCATATATAAGTTAATTACTGGTTTACAGTAAATAACTGCGTATTATTGTGTTATGTTTGCTCAATTTATATTGTTTTCCGTGTTATATATTTACTTTTTCCCTTTTTAATGCCACCCACTATGGCCGCTCTGTAGAGGTCATACAGATATGTTTAGTTTACTCATTAATTGTATCTATCTTCTACTTTTATGATATGTCAAATCTACCGTCAGTTCGGATTGCTTTCGTACTAAGAACTGACAAGAAACTCAGTTTTTAATCTTTTCAAATGAGCTTGACATGTTTATAATAAAACAGATAAAATTAAACATTTTTAAATTCATATTAGGTAGAATAGAGTGGTCACCAGCATATGCTATTGCAATTTTGTCAAAATGAAATAGTCTAATCAGTGGCCGTAACCGTAAAAGACCAGTCCCCATAAGCAGCACCTGTTCTCGAGTATGACGGATGAGCCTATATTTAGATGTACTTTTTTATTTGAAATATTAAGTTAATTGATTTAAGTCTTCCTAACATAGTTTCTATTAGCAGTCGTGCTGGTTTCGACTGAGAATTAAGTTTTAGTTTTATCGTAGGTTAGAAATCTCGGCGATATTTTGTATAATGGTTTACAGACGGATATGTATGGTCATTGGTTGTTGAGTAGTTTATGAAGCTGTCCAACAAAATTGCAGTTATATCACCGCAGTTGCTACGCTACTCAATTACTTGCTATTGAAGTTACAGCATGAGAGACATGAAATTTTAATGATCTGGAATAGCATGATAACGTGATGTCCATAATGCTGCACATGTTACGACATGTTTAGCTGTTACCGCCTACCATCAGATGGGCCGTCAGTTTGGTTGTCATTCTAATTATATAATAATTTCCTGTAATTATTAAAATAAAGCTATTTTATTCCTATCACGCGGTTTTTACGGCCTCTTGTCGGAGATATTTGTTTTCTTCATGCGTTTCTAAACTGTAACACTTGATTGGTGACAAGCCAATGTCGTCAATAAAAATATCAATTTATAACACCCAAGGTGTTATAGAATATTGCAAGAACTTGGCATATCGTGTTTAATAGCCGGTGATACGATATAGATTTTGTATAATTGCAGCATGCTACAATGTTTATGTTTCGGTATTTTGTAATGTAATAAACCGCGCCGTTGTTGGTTGGACCACGGCGTAACATGTAGTGTAACAATGAAAGCCTGTTAGTGGCTTACTGTGTTATTATATTTATTCGACATGTGTATATTTATTTAGTAAAGAAAACCAAGGCTAACCTTAGTTTTCTTTACTAAATTAATAAATAACAACGGCGCGGTTTTTCTTTATATTAGAAATAAATTCCGCATATGGCACATTTGGAAACACTGATGAGATTTCGTTTGTTAAATTTAGCGTATAGATCTAGTATAAACAGTAATCTCGTTTTAATCTACAATTTTAAAAAGCATATCTTTTACTTGTGTAATTTGTGAACATTTTGATATTTGCCAACAGTGTATTAGGTATAAGAAAATTGTATGAATTGTCTTGATACTAAAGCAAATACGATATTTTTTTTTAATCTCTGTTATATAAAAATAAGCCGTATCTTTTCAATAATTATTGTTATTTTTATCATGATTGTGTATGATTTTACCCGATCCCATAAAACTATACATGTTAAATAATTATTTGAAAATCCTGTGCAGAATTTCAATAAATGTTATAGAAAATTTTATACTTTTGTTAATCTGTCGTAAGCAGATTACAACATGGTATACAAACAAAATTTACAGACGAAACTCCTTATAAATGAATACACCAAACGTTTTAAACTGTGGGGCTTTACTACGTTTGGTATATAATAATAATGATAATCCTGGACAATTCACACAGCGCTATTTAGTCCCTAACTAAGCAGAGATTGAGTTATGGGTATATGATAACTGACTATAACTTAGATATATTTTTTCGTAAACACATACATAGAAAATACGCACAAACTATCGTGATGTTTATTACAAAAGAAATGATAGAAAATAAAACTTAAGAATTCAAGGTAAAATTTTATTTTTCAATAATTTTATTTACAAATTAAGAAGGACCTACCTTTGTCTGTACAACTGTTATATACATAATACAAAATAACAAATTATACTACCAAATTCTGAATATCACATAACTGGCTACACCACACATAGCCATAAACTATGAAATTTTAAGATTTGCATGTTTGAGCTTAACGTCAGCCTATATGTGTAAAGGTAGGCAAACTATCCAAAGGCAACCTATCTAGTATACCCTTATGCTTTTTTAAAGCTTTTTTAACATACTGTTTAAAATTTGACGTGGTCATTATTTATACGTATAAGTAGTAAAAATCACGGGATCTTACCATGTTTTATTTTTACTAACTACCCGCTGCTCTTTGGTTTATATGTTATACGGTGTTTGAAACATTGCCGAAACATCAGAAACTCAATAAACCATAAAATGTGGTAAGGTCCCGCGATTTTTTACAAATTATACCTATCATTATAATTCATACTTAGGACTGTGTCATTGTTTCTATTAGATGGCGCTGATAGTTCAAAACTAATGAAAAAAGGTTGATTGTGGAATCTAAATGGATAATGTGAGTGATAGTTTTAGAAAACAACTTCAATTGTTTAGTGGAAAAAGATCGGCAAATAAACATTAAATTTGTTTATTCCTTTCTTTGTTTTACAGGGTTTCGTTGTTGCATTACGACAATATAATCTGTATCTAAACGTGAAAGTTTAAATTAAAATACTTTCTTTTATAGAGCAACAAATAGTTTGATTGCTCGAAATACATAATAATTGATAAATTGCCTTCTATAAAAGACATGCATTTTATTAATATGAATTGTATAAGAAACCACTTTACCATCGAATAATTTAGTTTTTGGCTATATTTACCATTACCAGAGAATTAGTCAAAATAATAAATAATTACAATATTTTAGGTGAGTTAATGCAAATACTGCACTGATTTTGCAAGCGGTGTTTCGCCGCATTGCAAAAGCGTTATCTAAGTAGTGGTTCTAAAAACATAATTTTAACAAACAAAAAATACGTAAACGTCATAATTCATTAATGATGAGGATGCCAGAGTCTATATTTTTCTTTTTATTTTAATGTAATTGAAATGGCAAACAAGCTGACGGCCTAACTGATCATAATTGTCAAGTTGGCAACCGTCTCCTATGTACATATATACATGAACAGTACCAGAGATATTTGACGGTCTTGGTACTCATGCGTCGCAATTCCGAAGGACTAAGATATCTGATACGATTTTCTGAATTATCTTTGTTCTTTATTATAAAGATACCAAATTGTGCTACAATTGTTGTAAATACTGATTACAAGATCTCAAATAACTATAATATAAATCTAACAAACACTAGGAACAATTGAGAACCCTTTTCATCACAGATGGCGCTCTATTTGCCCTCATTTTTATAAAAAGTACCCAATAAGTCTATAATTCGTCCTGCATAGCAAACAATATTGACTGGTCATTTTAGTAAAAATGTAATGATATTAATATAAATTAATAAATTGAATATGTTTTAAATATTATTAATTTCTATTATTGGCTATTTAAATTTTAATTGTCAACTTCAATTAGAATAGTACATATTGTTTACCAAACAAGTCAATGCACCTTTAGATTTGAACTGACTTGAATCAAACAACCCGTTTGTTCCTTCAATTCAGCATTTTTTTTATAATAACTCAATAACATTCGTACCTAACATGTGTAAGATCGATACTGTAAATGTCACATATTATGTTATAATAAATAGAGTTATATATTTTATTGATATCGGTGTAATATTGATGAAGTCTATTTCATTACGAAATCTATTTATATTACATTAATTCGGCCGTGCAACCGAAAACGTCAGTTGCAGTCGTCGTTTGCTGGGTTATTATAGGTTATATCCGATCTCTAATTTCTGATGCTGCCTCGTTCAGAGGGGAAACACGTGTCGCAATATGGGTGTTGACTCAATAACGGCTGAAAGGTGTATATGTGGCCTCACACATGCTAATGGTGGCGGAATTAAACAACGTAAGGTACATTTACAGCGATTCTAAAGGTGCGACAAATATACAAACAGACTCTATACTGAATGTTTGCCAACAATTGCCTCAATGTCATGTACTTCCTTCACGCAAGCTTCGGTCAGCACGAGAGGGTCCCCCTCGGTGATTAGCACGTCGTCCTCAACCCGGATGCCCACACCGCGGAACTCCGGCGGGACCATTTCCTCGTCCTCACGGATGTAGATACCTGTATATTCAGCTATATTAATAAAGACAGACAAACTTCTTAAGCATTTTAATGGACGATTATAAAATAATGCATCAGCCTGCGCTAGCAATTTGCTGGCTGCTGGTGGGGTAACAGTCGAGAATGATAAAATGTTCAAGGCACTTTACCATCGTGGTTTTCAGGGAAAACGATGGTTTGGAGGTCAACCTGACATGGTAAATCTCCAAACATACATACATTGCTACAAATGAGGTTATTAGTCCATATTACTAACAATTCTCTTCCCATCTACTTCTTAACATTCTATGGATTCACATGGGGTCGCAGGCCCTATCTCGTTGTTGGGGCGACCTATTTCGTCCTACTCAATATGTTTGTGGATGCCATACATTAGCTGCGATGATAATTTTTTTTGCACCCCTAGACAATTCACAGAGCTTGTGTCATCGGTACTAGACAACTAATATAAATTCTTAGATACAAGTATTTATTTGTAAATACATATACAATATACATAAATAACACCCAGCCCGATATAAACAATCATACTCATGAATACAAATGTTTGTAACATGTGAGTCATGTCATGTTTAAAGTGATATGTTAAACCGCTAGACCAGCGAACCGTCAAAGGTACATACCGGGCTCGACTGTGACCAGCATGCCGGGCCGGACGGCCGCCCCGCGCCGCACGAGCGGCGTGTCGTGCACGTCCAGCCCGAGGTAGTGCGACACGTGGTGCGGGCACAGACGGTACGCTTTCTGTGGAACGAAACAATCACGTACCTGAGTATCAGTCTCCGATACCGAAAATCGCATTGTTTCGTATTTTATAAAGTTGTAATTGTTTATAAATTATTTGCTTGAACATTCACAATATAGATTTTACAAGTGTGCAACAAATGTTCATCATTCAACTCATGAGATACTTAATTACAATTCTTAATGATCTACAAATAATAAACAGAAGATTAAATGTTAAGTTTGTCGTGTGAGTCAGGCTTAATAAAAATACTCCGAAATTATGTTTTATTACTCCTAGAGTTTAAAGAAAACAACAAAATTATAACCTATAAAGGTAGATCTTTCGTAAATTGGATTCAGTAAGAGCAAGAGGAATAAATGCATAAATTGCGCTGCTGTACTTATATAATATTAGGAATATGAAAAAATATTTAAGACATGATAACAGAATATGGACTTTATACTTACACCAATGAGTTCATTTCCGTCTATATTCTTTGGTAGGATGCCCTCTTGTTGCAAATATGTACCGAGCAGTCGACACATACTGTCGAACAACTGGTCCAGCGCTGGTCGGTGCTCGCCAAGTAACTCAATCAGACGCTTCTAGAACATTCGAAAAACCTCTTAAATATGCAACCTTTGTATAAAGAACTACAGCAAGACCATAAAATAAGGCGTACTGTTCATGTTAGTATGAAATTATGTACAAATAATGAAATCGTAAACGAGCTGTGTCTGCAGATTAAATATTTACTAAAAAACTAATGCTGAAGAAGGAACGAGGCCGCAAAGTCCCAATTTTAATAGTTGTGCTTTAATTGGATTATTGTTAGTGTCATATTTAATCTGTAAAACGCTGATTATGTTCTTGTGGCATCTGTGGTTTGCGTTATGAGTTCTGAGGTACATTCGTTCTAGAATCGAACGGTAACACTCTTGTTTTAGTTGTAACACTCCTATTTTAGTTATAGTTAGTTAGTTGCTGAAAATGTTGTACTTAGTAAGGAATTAAATGTAAGTTAAAAATTATTTGGTTTTTTAATACCTGCTGGATGAGACTACTGTAATTGAATTGTTCTCATTACCAATAGACCTCTGTTGTAAAATAATTTATAATAGCATATATATATCAATGATAACAGTAGAGATAGTAAGGTCATATATAGAATTTTGTTTTATATTTTTGATTGGAGAATACAAAAAATAAATCTTATATATAAAATTCTCGTGTCACAGTTTTCGTTCCCATACTCCTCCGAAACGGCTTGACCGATTCTTATGAAATTTTGTGAGCGTATTGAGTAGGTCTGAGAATCGGCCAACATCTATTTTTCATCTCCCTAAATGTTAGGGGTAGTCCACCCCTAATTTTTTTTTTATTTTAATGCAAAACAACGTTTGCCGGGACAGCTAATTATAAATATATTAATACTAGAAGTGCCCGTGGTTTCACCCGCGTTAAATTTCAATAAAAAATATAGCTTATATATTATTCTGATGCATAAGCTATATTACTGTAAAGTGTCATCAAAATCCGTTCAGTAGTTTTTGCGTGAAAGAGTAACAAACATCCATCCATTACTCACAATATTTGCGTTTATAATATTAATAAGGTTAAGATTAATAAGAAAAGGGTTTTCCAACACCTTCGCCCTCGTACTTGAAGGTATAAAATAGTACGCACTTGTACAGAAAGCACGATCTCGTAGAGTACACGATGGTGTTTGGAGAACGTGCCGGAGACTGGCCATGTGCGCGATATATCAGAGTTATATAACCAGCGTTGGCTTCCTGAAATCGTTAAGAGTAATTTTTTTAGATAAGTAACAGAGTAATTAGTCCCAATCTAAACTTAGCTTGTATTATGGGTATTAAACGAGCAATAGAAATACTTTGTTAAACAGTATATTTATAGTATAACATGTACCATGTCTACCTACTCAATTCTCGACGTTTCGACTAGTGGTAGTCACGAGCTAATGCAATCATATAACTTTTCTTTACTTTGTTAAACACTGTTACTATACTTAAATGCAGAGTTAATTAAATTACTTAATTTTCATTATCATAGGTATCTCTGTAAAAATGGTAAGAATTTATCAAAAACAAGGTTTTTTATAGATGATATTATACACGAAATTTTAAAAGTCTTATATATAAAATACTGTCAAAATGTTAGTTGCCATACTCCTCCGAAACGGCTTGACCGATTTATAAGCATATTTAGGTAGGTCTGAGAATCGGCCAACATCTATTTTTCATACCGCAATTTTTATTGATAGTTATTTTTTAATTTCATATATACAACCCTTTTTTACCCTACTACCATCAACCCCTATTTGTTAATAGCGATTTTAATGTATATGGCAAAACAAAGTTTGCTGGGTCAACTAGTAACTATATATGTATATAAACATACCCGAGTCGACGAGCAGCATGTCCGTCTGTTCCAGTATCTGATTGTTGGCGATGTAGTGTATGTGCGTGGCCCGAGCGCCGCCCGCCACCACCGGCGGGAACGCCAAGTGCTCCGCCCCGCCCTGACGACACGCGTACTCCAGCACTGCGTTCACCATGTGCTCCGAAATGCCTGGAACAAATACACTCCAAGTAAGTAATAATTCATTTATAATAAAATCTAGTTTTTTAAAAAAAATATGTTAATGACATTAAAGACAGTTTAAGCAAATCTTACCAGGTTTAGTGCAGGCCATCGCCATATTTATAGACTGGGAGCCGATGTAGCAAGTTTCCTTTAACAGCTCAATTTCAGCCGGTGACTTGATCACTCTGAGGAAGTGCAAAGTTCGTTGCGGGTCTGACAATGACACTTGGCCGTTGTTACGGACGACACTGGAGACAGTGCTGTTTAAGTCAGAGTTGATCTGACTCTTGTTGTCGTACCACAGGACTGATGGTTTTGATGAATTAAATATTCTGGAAGGAAATAGTTGTTTATCTATACATTATTACGTGAAGATAGTTGCGGGATCGATTCCTAGCATGGTGTCATCGATGATAATGGAATGGTGCACCCCCTGCGCTAATAGTATACTCTATATATATGATGTGTATCCGTGTGTGTATGTGTGTGCTTATTGTGTGACTGGTGTTATGTCCTTTACACCTAATTCCAGGAATTATCAGACAGTTGAAGAGTGATGTAGAGTGTTTTTTGGATATTATTATTAATGTAATTGTAATACTGTATTTAAAAGTACTTATAAAACACATTACCGACCGTTACTGAATGGTCTCTTTAATTTCGATTAACTAATGCATCCCTTCACAAAGCATGGTAGATCGCCGATTAGGATGCGCGAGAGTGGCACAACAATGCGCAATGAACGTCACGAACTACACAGAGCCTAATGTCGCACAGGGACGGATACACATCGTGATTAAATAACCAGGAATTAACGACGCTGGTTTCCACGGGGAACCGCGTGGAGGACGACCTAACATGGTACATTGCTAGCAATGGAGACACTAGACCCCATTACTAACAATTTCCTTCCCCCCTCCTAGCATGGTGCAAACATATACAAATGTTTGCACTGTGCTAAGAACCAACTTCACTTTAATTTATTTGCATAAGTATGATTGTTTGTTTTGGGTCAGGGTGTTGTCTATGTAGTTACTTTTAAAAGAATTTTGGAACATATATTAGCAATATCATTTATGAGCAACTACAATACCTGGAAAAATGTTGGGACATTGATACCGCACAATGATATTATGAAATGAGGGGATGACCAAGGTACAGCTACACCAAATCAATTAAAGTAAAATAGGAGTCATGTCATATCAACATTTAAAGAGCATGAAATCATAGGTTATAAAAATCATTGGTTTTTATAGAAAAGAACAAACCTACTTGACAAGGAAATTCTCGAAATTCTCAACGGGCTGTGATTCGTCCACAGCAAACAGTTGAACGGCGGCATTACAGCCCGTACGTGGACCGTCCCATAGCTCTGCATGACTGTCCTTGTCATGAACAAATAGAATACTCTGCAATAAGACAAAATATTGTTTTAATACAGCACTTTGAATTATACTGCACACATTTATTGAGGTTTTAACTTTACATTTAACATGGACCACTTAGAAAAATGTCTGTTGTAAGGGTACAAGAATTGTTCTTTATATTCAAAGTAATATAAAACCTGCAATAGAACTACTCAAAAATATGTATGTTACAAATACTACAATAGTACTGATGCTCTAGATAAACTAGTTAGTTAAGGCTGATTTTTGAGGTAGTTTTGGAACAATGTTGAAATGTTTTTTATAATTGTCATAAAACTACTATAAAAATTATATTAATAATATTGAACTAAATATACTACACCAATAATAAATCTATACATATAAATAAAATTGGTGTGTCTGTTTGTAATATTGAAATAACAGTTTTTTACTACATGCATATGAATATAAATACGGTATGTACACCAAAATAACATTTTTGTCTGTCTGTCGGTCGTTTGTTCGGGCTAATCTCTGAAATGGCTGGACCGATTTTGACGGGACTTTTTTTGGCAGGTCGCTGATGTAATAAGGAGTAACTTAGGCTACTTATATTTTAGAAAAATAAAGTTAAATTCCACGTGAACGAAGTCGCGGGAACAGCTATATGATATAAATAACCCTGGACATTTAAACTGGTGGCTAAACCACTAGATCATTAAGGCTGCCAACGGTTTAATCTTATGAAGTATCTTAAGTGCAATTACAAAAATAACAAAGGCAAGATAATAGTGCAATACCTTAATGTGGGGGGAAGGGTATTGTTAGTAATGTGGACTTATGACCCCATTGCTAGCAATGTACCATGTCAGGTCGACCTCCACGCGGTTCCCCCTGGAAACCATAGTCATAAATACTTGATGAATTTGTCACGATGGGCTAACTGACCTGACCTCATGCTCATCTTATCATCCTCCACTGGTGCCCGCCAGCGTAAACCGTTAGCGCAGGCGGGTGCACCATTCCATTATCACATACAAAAATACCTTAATGTATATGAATATAAATTACATGAATAAAAAAAGGTCTCACCTTATAATTGTTTGTTTGTGCTGGCTTCACCAACACAAGTATTGCAGATGGTTCCAGGCACCCAGTTAAATAGTAGAAGTCTGAATTTTGTCTGAACACATATGGTATTATATCGGACATATACTGTTTGCGAGCCGCAGGTATAACAATCTACAAAATTAAAGATGGTGGATAATTAAACACATTATTGCCTTCATTACTAAGAGTTGGACAAAACTCCAAGTCTTAAGCTTCTTTCTATACTATAAAACAAAATCGTCTTGCAGTCTATATGCTTAGATATATATTTTTTTTCTGTGTCTATCCTGCAATCAGACGAAGACTATGAACAGGTGTAATAAAGGTGCTCTTTTGGGGGTCCTAATTAATCATCGGGTACCGGTAGCCTAAGCATTTTAAGCCGATATGTTTTCAGGGACTATCAGTTGGTTGGCCTGCTTAGATATTTAAAAAGATAATAATGAAGGGTATGTCCCTTTATCTTTTGAGCATTTCTTAACTTTCACTAGATAATTTATAAGACTTCAAATAGTCTTCTTATTAATCATGTAAATTATGTAAGTGTAAAAATTATTTTCTTAAAATTTTTTTATGTATTTTATTCAATATTAGTGATGGTACATTCCATTACTAATATTGAAAATTAAAATTAAGCAAAATATGTAATTTTTACTTACAATGTGGGCCTTATGAACATTTCCCACTTCTTCCATTAATTTGTTTACAAGTGTGTCTCTCCGTTCTCTGTACTCCATCTGAGTGATACCACACGTCAGCTGGCCCGGCGGCACGAGGTGAGGGTGAGTGTGACATGTTGCTTGCCCAACGACAACTTTCGGTATAGAAAACTGAGGAACATTCTTTATTCCGGGCGGATTTTCCACCGTGGACAACCATTTACACCGGTTTTCACATAAAACTTGCTTCAACAGCCTCTTGCGACTTTTGGACGCTATAAATTTGAATTGTTTTCTGTTTACAAAATCAGGTCATAACATTTTATAAAAGTACATAACATATTTGGTTACATACCTAAATTTAATGTCCATTTACATAAACCTTGCATTATGTACTGTGAAACGATTTGTAGAAAAGATTTGATTAGTTGATTGTTTCAACAAATAATAGAATAAATTAATTCATGCCGATAAAGTTACGAGATTTTGTTTGTGATGGGAAAATTTTGGAATTTGTAATTTGACGTTTGACAATGTGATTGACATAAACTGTCATTGTCAAGGCCTATCTATTTGCTGTCAATGTGATTTTGCCAGACTAAAAATAAAAACAATAAAGCAAAAGTAAATAGACGTATACAGTTATTTATGCGGTTTTACAATTATAAATAAGAATCAATTTGTAAATATTTCAATATTTATATGCATAGTTACATCACGGAAATTAAATGCGTGAAATGCGAGCACACTACGGTGAAAACAACTTAGTTGAGAAACACTCACACTTCACAAAGACTCTTTCGCGAATTATAATCTGAAGCAAATATAAAAAGAACATAGTTATTTACATTGCTGTTCCAATTATAAAAATATTAATTTAAAAATAAATATAAGATTTGTCAATAATAATTTATAGGTATCTCTAAATTTTATGGAAAAAAAACTTATTTTTCGTATTTAATAATAAATACAATTTATTGGTTGTTTTAACGTGAATTTCTTTATAATAACAGACAAAATTCGACAAGTGTGCAATATTTTTTTATGTAGGAATTTAGAATGGCAAGTTTAAGGCCCATTTTATAGTAAACGGTACCCTCCGCCTACATGAGTAGCAAGACAGACATAGCGATATAATGTGGCACTGGCAATACCACTCACGCATTATTATTATGAACTAAGATTTATTAAACAGCTTATAAAGCAATATGTTTGGTTGCTTCTTAGATGAGTTCTTGTAGTTTACCTCTGATAATAAGTAAAAGCTAGTAGATATGATCTATGTCTGTTCGTTTTTGTTGGTTTGTGTATTTTTATATATACCTAGTCACACTAGGTAGGTAGGTAGGTATATATATTTTTAATAGATGATTGTGGAATGTTGCTCCCGTATTTACTAAAGATTTACGCTAGTGCGACACCAGTGGAGAGTGGAGTGTAATTCACCTGGAATTTGTGATGACGGTTTCCGGGAGAACCGCATGTAGATTAATTTGTCATAGTACCTACATTGTTAGAAATGCGGTCATAAGTCTATATTAATAACAATCGCTTTCTTCCATGGTAGTACACTATAAACCCTCAAAATTAGATGTTTTGATGATGATTCATTTTGTAACCGGAGTGTGAGAAGTATAACTTGACGCAAAGATTTTTTAACGTCAGCTAGATTTTAACTCACGATTTTCTGGTCCAAGGCAGTAAACCACTAGGCCATGATGCCTTTAAATACATAGAACTTCGCGCTGGAGTACAATTTAAAATTGAGATTTTATACTCGAAAAGTAGTATAATTGAACCGAACGAGATTTGAATTTGGGCATGTTATATCCGCAACAAGATAGTCTAATCTATTGTTCATGTAATTGGTATAGAAACATGCGGTCCACCTGATGGTAAGTGGTATCCGTCGTCTATATACTTACATGAACAGCAACACGGGCGTCACGCGATTTGATCATATGACGATTATGGTCAATCGTTGCCATTCCGGCATATACGCATTCGCACCCTGTAATTTCACTGCCTGTTATATCTCACCTTCAAACAAATCTTGCAAAGCAAACTGGCGACTTATACAAGCGAGTCGTAGGTAGAGACGACGCCGACGCGCGACGACGCGACGCGGCGACGCGTTGTTGGAAAAATACTACTTCGGTAACATAAAAAAAGTGCCAGCTCTGCTTAGTTTAGGTATGTAATATTATGTTATCTGTGGTTTAGGCAAGTAATATTATCTGTGGTTTAAGACTTCATGGCTGTGTATCTTGTTCTAGGTCATTATTAATACGTGAAGCCAAAATTTTGTACCCCTTTTTATGAAAATTGCGCGGACTGAACAGTAGCATATTTCCCACAAGTATAGTATAGTTTATATAGTGAAGAAATGTAGTTTTTTTTTAATAATGCGTAAAAATATAAAATATATATATTACTCAGACTACCATGTTTTAACATATACACACATATATACTGTTTTGTATATTGTTTAAGTATGTGGTCAAACTGAAAATAGATTAATATTGTTTGCCTTTAATATTATTTGTTACTAGCTACTCACCCCGGCTTCGCAAGGATGTACACGCATTACATATATAAACCTTCCTGTACAATCACTATTAAAAAAAAACGCTTCAAAATCCGTTGCGTAGTTTTAAAGATTTAGGCATATATAGGGACGGATAGACAGCGACAGCCACTTTGTTTTATACTATGTAAAGATTAGTCTTACCACAGATAATTTACTGAATGTTAAATTAATTATGGTATTTTATAAAAAAAATAACGAATATCATGGTCAAGTAAATACTTAACAAAATACACATTTTGTTAAGTATTTACTTGAAATCCGTACAAATGACATCAACGAACTACTGCATCGTGTGGGTGGGGACAGTGACATGTTTTGTATGAATAATAATTTATAATTACTATAACATACAACAGGGATGTCATGGATATGAAATTTCGGATACGGATAGGTTTCGGATATAGGAATGATTATTATACCGGATACGGATGTGAAATTATTTCGGATTATCCGTTTGTTTCGGATAATTTCGGTTACGGATATAATTTTTTTAAGGAACTTCATAAGTAAAATACAAATAGCAAATAAAATGGTTACATAACATATCTCAATTAGGCTCCGCCCCTATCCGATGTTATCCGAAACTTTTATTTCGGATTCGATTACGGTTACGAATATTTTTTTATATCGGATATCCGATAGTTTCGGCTACGATTACGGAGCTCCCTAACATCCCTGATAAACAAGGATGAAGGATGGAAAGAATTATCTGGAAAGATAAAATAAGGAATGAAGAAGTGCTTGAAAGGATTAAAGAAAAGACAAATCATAGACATTATTGAGAATAGGCGGGGAAAAATGTTGGGGCACTGGGGGATACGACACGACGAAATAATTAACAACATTATTGAAGGAAAAATAGATGGAAAGAGAGGAAGGGGAAGACCGAGACACAGCTAAATCAAGCAAGTTAAAGAAAAAGTTGGAGTCGTGTCGTATCAACAGCTAAAAGGACTGATAGAAGATCGTGGAGGGTGGCGGGAGCTCCACCAACAAGAGCACAACTCTTAAATTATGAATGATAATATACATAGAACTACGGGTTTGAGTTTATTACAAACGATAACTGACGGGTGCAACTTCGTCTGCGTTAGATTTTCTCCATTTTTGCAACATTTTTTACTTCAGATCCGTTCATATAGGTGTAGTACGATATAAATATTTAAAAACATCTATAAGTAAAATTGGAGTGTCTGTTTGTAATATTGAAATAACTGTTTTTTACTACATACATATGAATATAAATACATATATTAAAATAACATTTTTTACAATTTTTGTCTGTCTGTTTGTTTGTTCCGGCTAATCTCTGAAATGGACCGATTTTAACGAGATTTTTTTTGGCAGGTAGCTGATGTAATAAGGAGTAACTTAGGCTATCTTTATTTTAGAAAAAAAACTTTTATTTTAAAAAATAAAGTTATTCCACAGCTAGTTTTTAAAAAATATACATAGAAATCTCATACTTAAATTCCACCGTGCGAGAAATCGAACCAGCGACTATAAGTCGCCGGGAACAGCTAGTTTTTAAATAAATACACACACATATCATATTTTTAAATAAATACAATAGTTTATAACAATGTTTAATTTCAGTTTGTATTTTTAGCTGATATTGTTCAGTATCATGAATAATATCATTGATATCATATTGGCTTATTTAAAAAAACAGCAATATTAATAATATTAATACTAGATTTAAAGACAAACTTGCTGTCCCCAAGTATCGTTTAGAAAAAGTCAATAGGTCTTTTATGGGAATAGGTATAAAAATTTACAATAAGATACCAAAGGATATATTGGAATTATCCTTAAATAAATTCAAAACATCTGTTAAATCATATTTACTGAGCAAAGCCTATTATTACAAACCATTACTTGAATGACGAGCGTGCATGGCGATAGTTGTACATGCACGGGATTTTCATGTAATGTTAGACATAGACACTTATATAAATAAACATTGTAAATAAACTGGCTTTAAAAAAAAGTAATTCAATTGACTTTCTTGTCAGTGGATGAACTAGATGTTTAAAATTATAATGTAAAAATTTGACGTTAATAAGCGCTAAAATGTCTACATGAATAAATGATTTTTGAATGAAACTTTACAGTAATATAAACTAAACCGCTAGACTACCGAAACCATTGAAATTCAATATTTTATAACAATGTTTATTTTCTATGTGTATCTTTGCCCTATGTTCAGTATAATGAATCAAAAATCACTGGCTTTCTACTTACATGTTATTTATGCCTATTTATTCCTCTAAGGTTCTGCAAGCAGATTGTACACATACAGATATCCTCAAATTAGATATGCTTCATATGGTAATGAAATTACTCAGTGCTGTGACTAAAAACTTATATGTCACAATAATGAGTAATGCATAAGTTATTGCTTATTGTATTACCAACGTTCAGGGAATAGGCTGGCTGCTTGCCATCAGGCAGACTGTATGCTTAACTGTACCATCTTATTTTGTAGAAAAAATACTAGTTACATGTATACAATGTCAACCTTCTAAATCATCAAAATGTAATGTTCAATAAATTATTATTGTTATTGGCAGGTAATAGAAATAATCTTTATTGAAATAAACTTAATATAAACATTTGTGAATAGTCATATTTTTTTTATTCTACCACTAATTTGGAACGCAGACTCATCACAAGAAGAACGAGACTATATAATACAAGAACATATAATATAATAATAATATAATAGAAATAATAATGATGTTCGAAATTCCATTTTTTTTAATTTTGTGAGATTACAAACTGCCAAGTAGCAAATTTGACATAAACAGATGAATAGTTAGAGATACAATAGTACTTGAGTAACAAAATGAATCAGTTATCAGGATAAACTAATTACATTTCTCAATTCACCAAGATAGATGAATTACAAGTGAAATTCTTCTAATTTCTTAGAAGGTCTAATATTTTTGGGGCATACCTTTAAAAGGAAAAGAGGCTCTATCTTGGCCCCGTAGGCAGGAAGGTCACACGACGTTCACTGAGCTCTTGAAGCAGTCAGCGCGGAACGAGCGGCGCATGCGCACGTTCTCTACCACCAGAATACATGCGCGATCGCGTGAACTGTGCTATCTATCGTGCCCGTTACAATAGTGTTTCATAACAGTGCTTGTTTATTTTTTTAATTTGAACGCATTTGGACGTGCCTTCGACAGCCAACGACTCTGCAAGGAGGTTCGTTCTGTTTACCTTACTATTTCGCTCCGTCTCTGTCTTCTATATTGTGGTCTAGTCGATACCATCGATAAATGTACGTTTCGAGTTCGCGGGTTCATTTGCATCATTTTGTAAGCCATTCATTAGCTGTTACGGTTGGTTGCAAGGATTACCTAATGTGTGACCTCGTAGTGGGACAAAAGATGTGTGTATCTAGTTACCTAGTTGTATAAAAAAATAAAAGTGTTCTCGCGTGAGGTAAAGGTTAATTAAATACAATCTTCTTGAAGTAAATAATGACAGAATAAGAGTTGATTTAATTAGGGTTTTCCACAATACCTAATATAATTACACGGTTCAGCGGCGTACAGCCTTGGTCTTCAGGAATAGTAACGGATTGGAAGTGCCATCTGAGTCATGATGTATTTTGTGATATTATTTCTGAAGGTATTTAGGCAATGGTTACCAATCTACATTAAAAGGCTCGACGGTTGTTTTATTATTTAATTATAAGAATCCACTATATTATTTATTACTAGCTGTGCCAGCGGTTTCATCCGTATGAAATTTATAGCCATGTTATTCTGAGGAATAAGCTATATTACTGTAAAGTTTCATCAAAATTAGTTCAGTAATTTTTGCGTGACAAGCAACCATTCATAGTCGCAAACTTTCGCCATTGTAAAATTATTAAGATAGTAAGCATAAATACTTATAATGAATTCCTACATTATTATGTAGATATAATTAAGTATTAAATTTTTTGTATTAATAACAATTTAAATTCATTAGAATAGAAAATAATACAGCCACACGTATCGAAAATTATATAATAACAATAGTAATAACCCAGGACAATTCTTACAGCGCTATTTATCGTCAAGATAAGTAGAAATAGAATATTTACTCTAGCTCTTCTTATTTTTGGACTAGACCATAGATAATATACATAAAAAACACCCTGAACACACATACATACACATGAATAAAAATGTTTGCGACGCACTAGGAATCGAACCCGCTTTCATTAGAGTACAGCGGTGTTCTAAACCGCTACACTATAAAGGCCGTATAATATAAACTTAAAAATTTCAACATAGGTAGGTAATTCTTTATTGCTTGTGTCTACGTCGTAATGAATGACGTGAAAGTTATCTTACTGTTACGAGTACTTACTACGCTACTGTATGTGTATGCTCAGTGTAGATGTAGTGGTTAGATGCTTTGTATATTTTTATTGAGTGTGTACATATTTACCACCAATATTTAAGTTTATTGTTGAAAAACAAGGAGTCTAAACTTATATTAGATATTAGCTTGTACAGACAGACAGATAAAAAATAAATTAAAAAAAATCTAAATGTGTTCTAATTCACTTCTAACATCCCTCTGACTCGGTTTTTAGCATTTTTTTTTACTATCTTGTACAGTACTATATGTATTACAAACATTCGAACTCTACTGTTTTATTATATCCTAGCTGTACATGCGACTTCGTCCGCGTGGAATTTAACTTTATTTTTCTAAAATAAAAGTAGCCTAAGTTACTCCTTATTACATCAGCTACCTGCCAATGAAAGTCCCGTCAAAATCGGTCCAGCCATTTCAGAGATTAACCGGAACAAACAGACAGACAAAAATCGAAAAAAAAAATGATATTTTAGTGTATGATACATACACTAAAATATAATTTTTTTTTCAGAGATTAGCCGGAACAAACAAACAGACAGACAAAAATTGTAAAAAATGTTATTTTAATGTATGTACCGTATTTATATTCATATGCTAGTAGTAAAAAACGATTATTTCAATATTAGAAACAGACCCTCCAATTTTATTTACATGTATATAGATATAGATAATTAATTTTATGGGTTAAGTCAGCAGTGGTATATATATATACATAAGTAATTACTTTTTATCATAAGTTAAAATATAATTATCTACCATGAAAACATTGATTAAACTTATTTCTATTTTACGAGTTAAGTTATCCTGCAAATATTTTTTATACATAGAGGTTCCAAGTTGTCAGTATTTCTTATAATTTCTTATAATTTTAATAGAAATAAAGATCATCCTTTGTTTTTCGTATAATTAACAATCTTACAATAAAGATTACAGCTATTTCTAGAAAGGTCGGTATATAGAGAGTAGGCTCATGTAGATAACTTGGCCCTTTCTAATGTGCGCAATGAACAACCAAGAATGGAATTGCTATATGATCATACAAAACGAATTAATTATAGGTATGTATTATTGTTCGAATCCCTTTTTAGCTATTTTATTTATTAAAGTACTTTAGTTATTGTTTCGTGGTCCTTCGAGCCGGATAACGCATGAATCATATCGCATTCTTAATATTACATTGCATTAAATCAAAATTTTGAAATTTAGGAAAATCAACTTTAAAGCAGAAGCAATAATGTTGACTTCCTAAATTTTGCCAATTGAGACTTACTGTAGTTTATTGTCTGTGTATATCAGTTTAGCTCTAAGTTTGTACTTCTCTGTTATTTACTTGAATAGCGAAAATATTACTCGAGAGTGACTTAGTGTAGTAGTTTACTACGTTGACCATAAGATTCCAAGGATTATGGGTTCAAATATTGCCACCTTTAAAATCGAATCTAAATTTACATTCTTTTTAAAAAGCCGGTTACCGCTAATCATCCGGTGGATCGTCTTGTTTGCTTAAGCTCATTTAAATTATATAAAAATCCTTGTCGATCACTTGAAATATACTCTTAAATTGTTCAGGTCATACTTGATCACAGGTATACTTAACCTTTAAATCACCGACTTTATTTACCTGGGGGCCAAATTAAATAGCATAGGGTCATGCAAAAAGATATAAAAAGGCGTGCAGAAACGATGAAAAGCGCATTGACCCAAATGTAAAAATATGGAGAACTAAGAATATCAAGGAAAAAAGGAGATGAGTTGAAATTTCTGAATAGTGAGATTTTTATACCATGTCTTTGAGGAGGGTGAAGCAGTTCTAAGTCGGTCCGTATTGTTTTTTTTTTGGTCGATTCTAACTAGGTTTTAGCCTAGACAAAATACAGCCAGGGTTAATAATGTGTAGTTTAGAATGTTATCACAGTAAAGCTTTGTTATCACAATTATGGTAAATTAAGTTTAATTATATGTACATTTTATTTGCTCTTTTTTTCCGTTTTTTGTTTATATTGTATTTTTTACATTGCACTGAATAAATATTGATTTTTACATTTCATATCACAATAACTATTATTGTGACAAGGTCTAAAGTTTATTTTATTATTTTAATATATAATATATTATATTATATGAAATCGAACAACTGCATAAGTTTGTTAAAGATAAAATCGCAATTTGTACAATTATGATAATGAAAAAATCTACCGTTTTTATTTTATATTTTAATTTAAATTAAATTCAGTCGGGGTCTAAGTTAATTTTATTGCATATTCTGAGCGTTATATACTCAATTTGTTACTTGCATAGAAATTGCAGGTAGGTTCTACATATTTCTTTCTAATTTGAATTTGGTCGACAGATGTTAAAAAAAAAAATAGGAACGTCGTTTTTTACGAGATTTTATCAGTTACAAATTTTATTCCGACTGATCCAAAATCCAAATCTTTGAAAGTATTTTATTTGTAATGCCGATTTGTTGAGCTTGCGATCGTTAACGTAGAAAGGGCGAGCCGTTAATGGTTTCCTAAGTCATTCAGATGTTTTCCGCGCTCGAGTGGATGGCGCTGCATTCACGAGCTGTCGGCGGAATGCGCCTATTACGAGAGTTCCGCCTTTGGGATGAGCTTGCGCCGCGCCGGCGAGAACATGGCGGGAATCTATGTGACGGTCTGCAAGATGGGATGTAGCGATTACAAATAGATAATCTTTATAATCGTTCAAAAATATTACCTTCAATTCAATCGTCGATTCTTGAAATATAATATTTTTAGATTCTTGATAACGTTATATTCATTTTTATGGAGACTATAATTTTTAACTTAGACAAATTTGTTTATTTACACTTATTCTGTATTCTAACTACGTTGATTTTAGTTAAGGTATCTGATTGAAATGACCTCTGTATAGCGCAATGCAGATATTTAACATAATTTTGGTCGCCCTGGTCGGTCTGGTCGAAATATAATAATAATTAATTTAAAATTATAAATTTGAACATTAAGAAGATTTTGAAGTCAAAGATTTATACCAGTGTATTATGATTTATGAGTGTGTGTGTCAAATATATGGTAGTGTATTTAATGCTTTTTTTTATTGATTTAATGTATTTTATAGGCGTATTTAAAAAAATAATAGTATTCGATATTGTAAATATAAATTATTACATAGAGAATGAATGTGTGCACACACACACACTTATGTGTGCAAAATTTCACACTCCTCCGTCCGTCATAAAAAGGGGTACAAAGTTTTTGCTTCATGTATTTATATAATGATATTAGCAATAGCTAGGTCCCTCCAACATAGATTGTAAAATACATGTTTTTATCGTGTTTAATGAAATTATTATATTATATCTGCATAAAATACGAAAACAAACTTCAGACTAAGTGCTTTACGTGGCCACCTCGGTCTCATAAATTACAACTAGATACAAAACAGCTGCGTGCGGTGAGTTTTGCTTATAGAGTGGAGATATGGCAGTGAAATTACAGGCAGAAGCGATAATATCTTAGTCATTCGAAATGGCAACGGATGAGTGGTAAAACGGTCGTCACATGAGATGCTATTTATATATAAATGACGGTAATCACTTACCATCAGGTGGGTACCATTTGCGAGTTTGTAATTCCAGTTATATAAAGGTTAATTAAGATTAATAATTTCAGTCTAGCTATATTTAAATTCTGATCATTTTGTAATCGCCAGCGCTTGTCACTCGCACCAAAGCCATCGAAGTCCATAAAACCTTTACTAGATATTCCCTCATTATTAACGAAAGAAATTCCAAGAAGAGTGAGCTGTTAACTGGCAAGTAATGAGATTTTAGGCTTCTT